GATATCAAATTTAGTTCAATGGGCCATTTTAGACTAATTTTCGATTCTTTTGAAAATGCTTACGCAAGTTTAATTTGAACGCTGATATCTCAGTCAATATTTCGTGATATCTCATGTATAACCTATCAAAATTTAAGTTAGCCTTTTATGAATACAGCACATTTATTTGAGCGATGTATAGCTCTTATAGTTTTTTCGCTATGGTAGATCAAACGCCTGAACTTTTTTTGCGCCACCCGGTATATATATGTAAATAAATATTATTTGTCTTGAGCTACCTTGTATCAAAATATAGAAATGAGTATATTAAATAACGAATATAGTACAATCAACTCGCGGTTGTGATAGCCCTGCTTGAAAGCCGTGGTATCTAGCATACTGTATACTAAAGAAATAATAACTGATGCGTGCTGCAATACCTATAGGCTATAGCCTTTTGACTATTACCTAACCTTACTGATTGAAAATACTTCGCATTAATCTTTAATCTTTATTCTTTAATAAGCAGCCATCAAAATATTGCCAGTTTGTTCGATCTTGATCTCCATCCTGAATCCATACACACGATTGTCAAGCAGAATGCACTCTTCTTCAGACCATTTTGGCGCAATTTGAACTTTGCGCGGCATTGTCTGCTAACATTATTATGAATTGGTGATGACAACCTGGTTTGTATGTTAGCTCAGTTAGTTATTTGCTACATCATATCTATGGGGTTAAATTTCATGCACGCATAAATTATTTCACTATAAATTTATTATACATGTCACCACTCTTACCACCTCGACTAATAATGCTGTGGTAACTAACACCTTCAAGATAATTCAATTTATAGGCGTGCGGGTCGTCATGGAGGCTTGGGAGGGTGAGGATTCTCTTATTTGAAAATGTTTGTAAAATTTTTGTTTAATTACTGTAACTCTAATGTGTAAAACCAAAATGTATAAGTATTTTAACTGATAACATCTTCAACCTTTGCTCTAACACTACATTTGATGACAGCTTTATAGTTGGACTGTTGTTTTGAACAGAGTTACAGAGTCAATATACAGAAATACAGGACCAGGATTTAATTCAATATCTCCTGAGAACTGTCCAATAGGTTCCTTTGATATTGTTAATTGGCAATATTGCCTGGTATGTTTTCACTGTTTAAATATTTTATACAGTGTAATATATTAATAAAACAATTCCAGAGTGTATTCCATGTAAACTCTACGCCGAAGATACGGCAATATTAACTATAGATAGTATAGTAAATATTTGCCGAACTGGCGAACTCATGTATTATAAAATATGTGGGACATATATTTGCACAAATTTGGTATTTAAATATATAATATGTGGTATTTGACTACTTACCAGATGAGGATAAGATTCCATGTTGATAAATAACTTCGGAATAATATCGCAAGTAGAATGGCGAGAAAAAAGACCAGCCAATTCAAGATAAATTGATAAAAATATCAAGATATTTTTGAAAGAATATAAACACGATATAACACGAGGCCTGACGAGGCTAAAGTATGCCCGTTCGCAGCTTAGATGCGGGCACGTGTAAACAATTGATGTAAATGAATCGCCGATTGGCTTAAATTGGCTTAAATTATATAAGCTCGTCGCTCAATGGTTATGTGTTAACATACGGTAACAGTAACATTGACGGCACGTTTGCGATAGCATATATATCTGCTTCGCAGATACAAAAACCTGGCAATTTGTCTGAATTTGAAATTGTGAAATAATCATGGATTGCTCTGTGTTTGTACGACAAGAGCGAGGACAATGAAAATTTGCGTTTTGGCAGTGGCAAAACTGGCCACATAGCATCAGATCATGCTATGCAAATTTTTACAATGCGTCTACAGTAAGTGGGGCCACTTAGAGAACACTAACCAATTAAATTGCACAACAAAAATTGAAAAAATCAAGAAACGGCGCATTCGCCAGTCAGCATTAGGCCCAAAACAATTTGAACAAATAAACTAATGTCAAACGGTAAAAATAGATTTATAAAAGTAAACGCTGCAGTTAATGGCTTCCTCAATCTTTCTTTTTATTCGACTAGCTTTAGTTTGATTAGATGTTTCTTTTTATTCTGCAATGCGATTGGTTAGTGTTCTCTATGTGGCCCCATTTACTGTAGATTGATTTACTAATGATTTGCATTATTCACTGAACCTTTAGAAATGAATTGTTTTTATTTTTTTTTAGATGCGAGTTTATTAGCATAGCATGACCAGTTGCCCTGGCTCTAGCTTCGCTGCTGGTTTCTATTATACTGTGAATATGAATTTGCTGTTGCATAAAATTATTAAGTTTGTCACAATTATACGTACAACTCAACTCTTTCCATTTGTAGCGTATTCTTATTTCGTTCTAATTTTGAAAGAGCGAATATGGCAAGAGCATTATGTGCGCATGCGCCTCGATTTACTAACGGTGATCTTCACTAACAAACTTTTGAAAAGTAAATGGAACATAAAATGGAAATTTTTACAGCGCACTCACTAGTGTTGTATACAATGTACAAACCACGCCAGTTGAAATAATCGAAGCTACAAGAGGTACACCAGCAACTAAAAGATATGAAACACATGATATTAACGGCTTATTGACCTCGCTTGTTCGGTCTGTACTGTGAAATATCAGACCAAGGTTTTTTAGTATGGACAGAGCGACGAAGGAGCGATGTCCATGCAAAAAACAGAGATCTGATATTTCACAGTACAGACCGAACAAGTGAGGTCAATAATCGGTCTATTATATGGCTTAGTCTGTGGGCATGCGCATGCATATACTTTTCGCGCGAATTAAAACGGCTATCCTCAGTTTTACTGGGTAACAATATACGGTAGGCATGCATGCTAAATCAAAAACAATTTGGTTGTTTGAAATTTTTATCTGCAAATTTTAATGACACACAATGTCACAATTGGAAAATTAAAGGCAAAATTTTTTTCTGTTTGCAAAGCAAAAATTTCCCGCCAGATATACGACATTCGGGACACCGGTCCAGATACGGACCACGGTCCGGATATGGGTTTTTACGGACTGCTTGTCAACCAATCAGAATAGAGAATTTGGGAATTTTGAAATTTTCTTATCTTTCAATGTATAAATAAACGACAAACGCTACAACGGTAATTTATCGAGGATTTCACCGAAGATTGAGTAACGAACAGATATCAGAATTTTTGGCGTGCCACCCGAGAGCACTAATTGTAGATGCGCTTTGTAGGTGGAAATTGTAGATGAAAGTGGAAATTTTATACATTTATTAGACCTACCAATTATACCTAATCAGGAATAGGAAAAATGGAACTATAGGCTTTATTGCGGGAATCGAACTTCTCGCCCTTCTAGTCCAGTTGCCGAGCCGTAACCCCGAATTCATGTATATATCAGATATTTACCCTGCACACGCTTACATTGGTATCATCTTAGTGTTATGCTATAGGGCCCACTTGCCGAGCTCTAACTTGCCGTTAGATTTCGGCAAGTGCACTCTATAGCTCAGTCGGGTTAGAGCCGCAGCACCGGAATCGTACAGCCGCAGATTCGGTTCCTGCCAGTTGGCATTTAGTTGCATTTTACCCAATTGCTCCTGCATGGTTATAGGTAATAATTGTATAAAGTTTAAACCCCAATTAATTTCGATCTACTAAACCTTCTGCATTCAATTCAGTGGCTTAACTACTGGGGGCCTGACCTGACCCAAACCAGGGGCCCTGGAGAAGGAACTTCTTAGGGGGCCCTTGGCTAATATCAAATAATACAAATATTGTATTTTAACTTTTATTGTAGTGTTGGCGACCGGATGGTCATCAATAAGAGACTATATAGACTATATACGAGCGATAAAGACAGATTACCCGAAATCAAGACTGAAACTGACTGAAGACTGAAGCAACATAGTAAAGGAGGTGAACGCAAAGAGAAATCTTCTCTGGGAAAATATTGTTACTGCACTTAATTTTTGCATCTAATGATATGCAAGCATTTGATATGGATCCTGGCAAATCGGGAAGAGCACTAAATTTAGATGAAATAAGAATGGAAAAAGATTTTTTTAAAAATCCACTATCCTTGCTCTTAAGTTTGGACTTCCTGTTTCGTTTGTTGAAAAAAGAACAAGAAGGGTCCCCAGATTTTTTGACGAAGGGGCAACAGACGAGCTTATCATTGACGCGAAAACAAAATTCCGTGTGGAACTGTAATTTCCAACAATGGAAAGCCAGAAGAACGTTTCAAAGGCCAGCAGTAGGAGATGGCAATAAAATAAGAAGTGCAGCTCGCGAAAATATATACGTACCCAAGCATTATTTGCGAAAGCGAAATCACCAGCACTTATTTCAAGTTGGCATGAGCAATAGTTTTTTTTTCTCTTTCTGCCCGTTACTGTTGCGACTGCCGCTAAGCGATCATTTAGTTAACTTAATAATATTATAAAAAACTATTTATAGGATCCACAATGGCATAGGAAAAATTTAATGCATGCACTTGCTGTAAATTCTATATTGAAGTTGAATATGCAAAAAAGGCTTGAGATTGACAAAACGATTGATATCTTTGAAGAGAAAAAGACCGGATCAACTAATTTTAACAGTTAACTAAAACAATTTGGTTGCAAATTAAATTGTATTTGCTTACACCTTGTCAGTATATTAATTGTTATGAACTATGTTGTTGTTGCTGTTGCGCTGTTGCTTAAGCAATAGAAAACGGAGTAGAGTAGTGAAAGACCTCCCCTATGGCAACGGAAGTAATTAGTATGCAAAATCTATGACGTCACTTTGTTCAGCTAACATTCTTGGCGGAATTTATAATGAGCTTGCAAAATCTATAACGCCAGGTAGCGCGACCAATTAACGCGGGCAGGCCTGGGCCAAATGTGGCAGGCGATCAATTAGCATCACAACTAGTTTCTGACAAATTTGTAATAAAACGACAAGAGGTTGCATGTATAAAAGTATGAAATAGAAGTTAGTTTTTAAAATCTACCGTTAGCTCAGTTGGTAGAGCAAACTGAGGACTGTAGTTATTACCAAGTCAGTATTCCTTAGGTCACCCGTTCGAACCTGGTACGGTAGAAAATTTTTTGCCTTACAACCATGTAGCAACGTTGTGAGTCCCAATCCCTCTCTTATTTTCAACACGCAATTGAAATTCGTTTTAATTCTTTTAATGAATTTGATGGCTAGTTTTGAGCAATAAGTTTCCAAACAGAAACAAAAAATTGCAATAGAACTAAGCAGTTGCTAAGTTAACATGGTTGTCAACGCCGTTGTTATGATCGCTATTTGCATGTTGTTCAACATTATTTAACAAACCTACATACATATATACGTTTAAGATGACAGAGTCAGATAGAATACTTGAACGAAAAAACTTGTAGGCTAGAACAATTTAACAAACAGTCATATTTTTGACACTATCGTCTGCTATTTGTATCAATAAATATGTTTTAAACTTTGCTGTGTTGTTATGTGTTGCTAAGTCATTAGGTGGCGTGTAGGTAATTAATGTATTAGGCGAACAAAAAATTGCATAACTAAGTGTATCCCAATGGATAGATAGGGATATAATCAGGTGTTTGGTGTAAGCATAGTTTATTTGATTGAAAAATTTTTATCGAAATGTATAGTAGAGTTATACCCATCTCGGAAGAGATAAGTCGCGTATAGCAGATAGATTTATAACGCAGGTGTTTGCCTTAAAATCAGGCGCGGGCCTTTGCGGGCGAAAATTTACACAAGACTTCAGTTTTAAAATTAGGCCTACATTTATTTCTTCAAAACGTTTTACAAAGTTTAGTACGGTCTACTTCTGAGAGAGTAACGTTTAGGAGTTTTTGTTATTTTTATGCTTCTAATCGTCACTTGTTTGAGATGTTTCGCTTTCAGATTCATCATCGCAGTCGCTTTCATCTTTCGTAATCCATTTTGGGACGTCTTGGATCTTCTTCCAGTTTTTGCTTCTTGACTGATGATAGATTGCTGCGGTGACTTCGCCTTCTTTTGCTTCCATGTCCCGTTTGACGCAGAAGAGTCCTTGCTCCTTGCTCAACAAATTCTTTAACAACTTTCCCTCTGTGAGTCTTTACAGATTCTCTTACATTTTTTCCTTGGAGTACATCTTGACCAATTTCTGTGGCCGCTTGTAATGCTCTTTTGCCAACAACTTTAGCTCCTTGTTTGAATAGAGGGATAGAATATCTTGCAAGGCTCTTGAAAATACTTCCGATCCCATATCCCCTTTGCATACGTGCACCATGAAACCCAGCGATATTCTTACCACGCTGCTGCCTCAAGAAATGGTCTTTCAATAGCTTTGTCTACAACAAGGGTACCTTTCACCATGTTGACGTGTTCAGTTCAAATTCACACAGTGAACTGATCAAATTAAATATCACTTTGTTAATTTATTTTATGGTCAAAAAATGTCTTTATCCTTACTAACATCCATAATTTCATCACAATGACAATGTTGGCAACAGGGGCGATTTGTCAGACTGTCTATCCTGGTAGGACCACTTGTGGGCTAGCATTGTAAGGACACGCCCATTTACGATTAGGCTTTTATCAACTTCCAGTCTTGCAAGACCTTTGAGAAATATAGTACACAAGAGCTCCACCAACGGTATGTGTTTCATATAACTGCTGGTCAGCAACGGAATGAACACTTAGTTGGAAATAACATATTTATATATTAACGAAAATAGATTTTATCTTCCGATATCTTAGGATATCATACAGTATCTTAGGATATCATACAGTATCTTAGGATATCATACAGTATCTTAGGATGTCATACAATATCTTAGGATATCAATATCTTAGGATATCATCCAGTATCTTAGGATATCATACACTGATCTTAGGATATCATACAATATCTTAGGATATCAATATCTTAGGATATCATACAGTATCTTAGGATATCATACAGTATCTTAGGATATCATCCAATATCTTAGGATATCGTACAATATCTTAGGATATTGTATGATATGCTAAGATACTGTATGATATCCTAAGATATTGGATGATATCCTAAGATACTGAATGATACCCTAATTAAGATATTGATATCCTAAGATATTGTATGATATCCTAAGATACTGGATGATATCCTAAGATAACATACATTATTATATACACAAGGTCTGGATATGAGGTATTCTGCAATCTGATTGGTTCTCTACTAGCAGGATATTAGCTCATATCCTGCTAGTAGAGAAAAACAAAATGGCGGCCAAACTGAATTTACGATGTTTTGCAAACGAGAAAACGGCAGGTTGTCGCTTTTTATAGCCTTCACAGGATTAAAAACACAATGAAAAAACTCCCACAAATTGTTTTCAGGTTAGGAAATAAATTTTTAAAATTTAAAATGGTTAAAAATATATATTTTTGAAAAATAATCGGCCGAAAGAGCGAAGATAAAAACATAAACAAAATAGAAAAATATTGAAAATATTCGAAAAGCAAAGTCTGTGAATTCAGACCTTGTGTATATAATAAAACAGTTATTGTACTCACTCTCGTCGAATATGAGCGATAGCGGATTCGGCGCTACGCGCCTCATCGGCTATCAGCTCATATTCGACTTGCATGAGTTCGTAGAATAACTGTTAAATATCTTAGGATATCATACAGTATCTTAGGATACCATACAGTATCTTAGGATATCATACAGTATCTTAGCATATCATACAATATCTTAGGATATCATACAATATCTTAGGATATCAATATCTTAGGGTATCATTCAGTATCTTAGAATATCATCCAATATCTTAGGATATCAATATCTTAGGGTATCATTCAGTATCTTAGGATATCATACAGTATCTTAACATATCATACAATATCTTAGGATATCATACAATATCTTAGGATATCAATATCTTAGGGTATCATTCAGTATCTTAGAATATCATCCAATATCTTAGGATATCAATATCTTAGGGTATCATTCAGTATCTTAGGATATCATACAGTATCTTAGCATATCATACAATATCTTAGGATATCATACAATATCTTAGGATATCAATATCTTAGGGTATCATCCAGTATCTTAGGATATCATCCAGTATCTTAGGATATCAATATTTTAAGATATCAGTTTCTTAGGATATCAATATCTTAGGATATCATACAGTATCTTAGGATATCATACAGTATCTTGGAATATCATAGCATTATTTTTGTTAGTTTGACCATATAATATCATGCTTGCGGGTATTCCCTTTGTTCTCGCAGGGCAATTAATAACTAATACACCTCATTATATTCATTTTTCTAATCCTACCCCCTTTACGTCATGTCAGGTAGAATTAGTTCTAATTCTACCCGAAACGACGTCAAAGCGGGTACGATTAGAAAAAATAAATATATCTGAAATCGCCAAAACTAAACAAAGACATGGAAAACAATTATACCATTTAATTTATACCATTATTTATTGTTAATTGTTTTTCAATGGCCCTGCGAGAACAACGGGAATACCCGCAATCATGATATTATAAGGTACAGTACTGCTCAAAAATAACCTAACACTGCGTTCGCGTTCCGAACGCGTTCCAAACGCGTTCCGAACGCGGTCGGAACGCGGTTGGAACGCGGTCGGAACGCGTTCCCGAGGAAACTTGGAAACGCGTTCCCCACTTTGACTAAAAACCGCGTTCTCGCATCGGAAAATCCCGACACCGAATGAAATATGAGCTACTGTAGGTTTTTACAGTTGACAACTATGAACAATTAATATCAAGCTTCATCCCGGGCTGCAATATCTATCTATCTATCTATCTATCTATCTATCTATCTATCTATCTATCTATCTATCTATCTATCTATCTATCTATCGAAATACCAGCCCGGTTTGATCCAGACTGAAACTCGACACAGTCCGGGCTGTAATCACAAATAATTTTAAAAAATCGTCTAACGGCTTTGTTCAGCGTGTTTGTTTCAACTGTATATGTTAATGTAACCATAAACACACAAATCAAATAGCCGAAAATGCTTCAAATCGCGATCGTGTCTTTCAACCCAAGCTAGAAAGGTCTGTGTTGTGCACATGCTATACTTCAGAAATTTAACAACATGGGATAAAAAAGTTCCGACTAAAACTCAGCCGGCTCAAACTGCTCACGGGCAATCAAATAGATCGCTATCAAACGTGCTGAAGCAAGCGTATCATGTAGCATACTTGCTACAGTTTATTTTAAATTGTCGCCGCTTGTGTAATTTTTTTA